ACATTGTTAACTCGGCTGCAATATAGAGCCTTTGACCACATTTGCGGGTGTAATGCAAAAAAGTAATCCCTGGAGAATAGAAAAAAAAAGAGTAGGCTAGAGATGTAGCTTAGCAGTAGAACTCTTATCTCATGGGAAGAAGGCTCTGGGTGTAATTTCCAGCCTTCTCCCAAACAAAACAAACCCAAATGAGAAAGAAAGCAAAAACATGGTGTGAGAATCTCTTGCTACCTTATCTCTTTCTGTAGAGTAGATCTAATCCTGTTGTAGGTGGTGGCTCACATAGATCTTTTTTTTCTTCTTGTGTCATATTCTGCCTGGGAAATCTAAATCCTTAATAACTAGGAGATAAAGAGGTATGTTCCAAGCTCCTTCATGTTGTTTTTAGCAGGTGGCCAGCTTGTATTTATGTCATGCGCAAGTTTTGTCTGCCTTTTCCAGGAGCTGAGCACATGTTTCTTGAGGCCTATGGGGACATGGACTCAGCCAAACACCACACTGTGGGGTCACTGACTGAGTCCCTTGAGCAGGAAAGGTGAATATCAATCCTAAGAATATTTTCTAGACATACATATAGGATGCCTGGTCTGTAGCCGGCTCTATTGCTGTCCCAGCTTAAGAGCACTCTGCTACTTCCCTGGATGGACAAGGGCTTGGATGATGCCAGAATTGCCAAGGAAAATCCTGAGCTGTTCCATTTCTGGGTGGCAGTTGGTAGCAAGCCTTTCTTGTTCTTCCTGGATCCCTTTTAAAAGCATTCCTGGAAACCACTGCCCCTGTTCGTTGCAGGGCTTCTGCTCTCCATATGTACAATGGTTGGAGTGGAGGTGGATTTCACTGTCATTATCAATACAACTGATCTGAGAATTTAAAAATTCTCCTGGGAAAACTGAGCATACAGAACCTTTTCTTTTGGGAATCAAGAAATGTTTGGACTTCAAGGCAATGCTTTGCTCTCATGAAAGGACAATATGAGCTTCCCATTGGCCTATGTCTTTGGTGATAAAAGTTCTGTTGACTTAAGAACAGGTCCATTCATTGTAGGGTATGAGCATGGGTCTGAGGGTGAAGCTCTTAGGATAGGGATAAATGGAGTCTCATGGATCCTGGATGTATTGTTTGTCCACATGGTTACTTGGTTCACCTGGGTGGACAGTGAACCTCAGTGTAAAATGAAGAGGCTTTGAGTTATTATCTCAAAATGACAACAATTTTTATAACCTGTGCTAGAGGATGATGAACTCATCAAAAGAGAAACATGGCCTGGCTTTGAGAAAGCTGGGTTTTGATTGGGTGCCTGTGCTCTAATGATTTATAGTTCCTTTTAATGCAGTTGTGATTGGGAGCGAAGGTCAGCATAGGTATTTTAGTAGATGTATGAGAGTGGATTTTAGATATAAATTATGCAACACTGGAAGTTCAACACAGATACAAATTGAACAGCTCCTTCATGGTGTTTAGGGAATTATGACTGATTTGTGGTCTGCTTATGAATGTCACCCTTCCATTATGGAAATATTTTTCACATTAGACCACTCTTAATTAATTAAGAGTTTGTGTGGAGGAGTCATGAATGGGAGTGCTTGAAGTTTTGACCTCCTAAATCTATGTTTCTGCCCACAAGGCCTCAGTGATAGATTTCGTTCATAGTTCACAAAGGAATTATTAGATCTTGTCTCTAAGTATTGCACACACCACTTTTACAGTGCTATTAGAGTCAGAGCTTGTTCAGGTTGTGGGTAGAAAGCTGGTATTTCCTAAGACAAATCATAGGCTATATTTTGTCTCATCCAAAATGTAACTTCAAGACTCCCAGATAATGATTCTGTTTTTGAAACATTTAACTTTTCTATTAGGATGTTACAAAGGATTCTAAACAGCCCGGCTTTTACCCAGCCAATCTACTTAGATGAAGGAAAGCATCAAGTTTTTTTTTTTTTTATTTTAAAAATAAAAGGAGGAAAATATTAACAGAC